ATAGATGTTTTAATTATACATAATTTTCTACTGAATAAAATTTCTACTCTAACAGTATATATCTAGTAAACAGTATGTAATTTATTATAAAAAGTGTTGACACTGTCTAATATCAGAAATAAGGAAAAATCAATCATACATTTTTAGCTAATTTTTTTACAAGTTATTATATAACCAAAACCTTATTAAATTTGAAAAATAGAACAAGTTAAGTATTATTATATTCCAACAATCGCAAAAATATTTGCAAAATTTAGTATAATCAAAGTTATGAACAATTTAAAAAATTAAAGACCCACGTGCAGGACCTGTTAGTTTGGTCTGTATCATAAAATTTTATTCCTTATAATTTTTCTGGCATTTTCGATAAGAGATTAGCCATACATTGTAACACATTGAATCCACGTATTTTTAATGCTAAAATGTTGTAAAATAATTTTGTTAATAATGGTTTGACAGGTAACAACGCGTTTTCTCATTTTTTTGTAATAATTAATTTCTGTTTAATTATTTTTAAAATCATTATTTTCTATATTTTTTGACACGCTATATACATAGTCAACTGAATATTCTACTTCTTACTGAATATAAGTTTTTATAATTCAAATTTTGACCTTTATATAAGTCAAAATTCTTAGAGACTTGGCATTCCTAACTATTTTCTATAATATACTTAATGGTGTGTTCAATGATCTTTAACTGTCTAATATGTGGATTATGTAATTGTATAATATTATTATTTAGCCTATTATTTATACTGTCGGGACTTGCAACCTAAATAATTTATTTCATTACAAACACATTTAATCTAAGGCCTTTTAGGTTTTTTTTCAAGATTGTACTGATTATTTCACAGTATTACTTTATCATTCTATGTTTAAATAAATTGAGCATTATGATGTAAAAGGAGCTGAATTATGTTTTCATTTTAAGTTTATCATATGTGTAGCTCAAAATGTAATCGTGTTATATTGAGTGAGATAAATCAAAAACTAAGAGCTCATCATAAGTTACTCCAACAGTACGCTTTATTATTAAGTCTAAAAAACATAAGACTATGATAGGAATCAAGAAGTTCCTTTTTTTAAAGTTAAACCGTATACTATCTACCTAACTGAATAAAATTTTTCATTCTTGAACGAATAAAGTACATGTGCATGAAATTCCGTCCATACATATTTGTTTTTGTATATTTGCTTGATAATATATTGATAGAAAAAAGTTTTCAACTTTTGCTACATAATCTATACTTTGCAACTTTGTTTCATCAAATAACTTACCTACTATGTTTGTATTTATACAAATAAAAATGTATTCATACACATGTATATAAGGTTTTTTTTTCTCAGCAGTATTTTAGGCAATGTCTAGACTTAATATTTTAGTTATGTCTAACCTATTTTAAGTTTTATAATTATAAACGGTTAAATTTTATGTAAATATATTTAATGAGAAATTTCTAATCTTAACATTAAATGATGTCCTTGAAAATTAAATGTATAATATTTTTTTGCAGAAAAATAAGATATCCCATTTACTTCAAATTTATTTTAAAAAAACCAGCACATTGGGGTCGTGGCATAGTTGGGTCAAGTATAATGATATCTCACAGTGATTAAAATCACTATCATAAAAAACGCTTCGATGCAAATCTGTAGATAGTGTTTAATTTTAAAAAATTGATGGATTATTCCAAAAGCTATATTATTTCCTATTTCCATATTTAAATTCTGAATACAACTATTATGATTTATAAGTGTAATTTATATATATATATATATAATATATATATTTATAAAGGGTAATGGTCCGTTTAAAAAAAAAAAATATGCCACATAAAAGATGAATATAAATAGTACTTACCTTAAAAAAATTATAATGATCCATACATTTTTCAAAAAGCTATAGCGTTATAAAGTTAAAAATATAAAAAAATTTTTTTTTACTAAAATCGTATTTTTTTTATTAACTTTTTATGTCCCTTTTCATCATGAAATCAAAATAATATCCGAAATTTTTTTTTTTTATAATTAAGTATATTAGATAAGCTTTAATTTAAGAACAATATAAAAGTATCAGCATTTCCAGAATACTTTCAAAAGTTAAGTTGAAAAAGTTAATTTTTTATGAAAAAGTTTTCATTTTGAATTCCCTCTGTGGGCAGATACAGGGTCAAATTTATAAAAAAAATATACAGAATGATAGATAAATACCTCAGATATTTACAAAAAATATCGATTTTGTCATTTTTGGTAAAGTTATAGCAGTTTAAAGTAAAAATATTTGAAAAAATGTCGAAAATTAGTGATTGTTAAATTTGAAACTTTTTGGAGGTTTCCCCCATTTTAGGGGAACGAGGGAAAATTTTTCAATTTTTGAGAGTAATGTCTTCGACTAGATACGATTTGTGATCTTTTGACGTATCGTTGAAAGATAATCGGTTCGATGAGAGTTGAGAAAAAGTGGTAACAGACACAAAAAAAACACATAATAGTAAAATTATTACCTTCTCAGCTTTGCATTGAAGCTAAAAATTTAAATCTATTTGATTTCCCAAAATTAATAGTATTGAATTTTCTTTTTAAGTTACTTAAGTATCTTTAACCGTTATTTTAGTAAATGTCATCTTTTATCAGTATTAAAAAATAATAAGTGTTGTATTATTTATTTAATAGTTGTTATCTACCAATAATTATCTTAATTAGATTTAATTTTAGTTTTAATCAATTAGATACATGATTACAATACATAGAATATTAAATAGTTTACTACTCAAATATCAATGTTATATAATTTTCAGGAATATATACTCATGTATATATATATTTTTAAAATACTTGACAGATTACAATAATTTATTGTAAATGAAAAATTATACTATTCCTTCCATTTTTGAATAGATCAGGATATTGTTTAAAATTATTCTGTATTAAATTGTACATAATTATCATATTTTTTAAGTAATTTTAACCCGCAACTTATAAATTGGGACAATGTATTTTTTGATATTGATTATATAAATAATTTACTGGCTATATTTTATTTTGAAACTTTAAATTTTGTAAACTGTAAAATTAGAGGTACGATGTTGCCAAGTCGTTAAGACGGCAGTTCTTGATGCGCACTCCTTTGGGTTCGTAACTTGGTCACGAGCGACTTCATTTGTTGATTGTGTCAGTATCTGAAGTCGCCATTTCGGAGTATCAATGGTTAATCAACTTCCTCCTTTGAGGATGCCACTATGACCCTTAATAGACTTAAAAAAACTATGCATTTTTTTTCCTAAATAAAACAACACTATGAAAATACTAAATATTTTAATTCTTAATTATTTAACTATAAAAATAAGTTTTCAAATAAATGGTAATTTTATTTAGAATTTTAATTTATAATGAAAAGTATAGGTAGAACACAGACAAAATTACAAAGTATTTTATTTTTATTTATTTGTGTCAAACTTTTTCTTTTTTAAATTATTATTTAACATTTAATATTTTAAGTTATATGTATATACATATTATATTATAATGTCTTGTTAAATATTCAGTATTTTGCTAATTATAGTTGTTCATCTCTCTAATTAAAATTTTTTTTAATCAAATAAAATAACAAACATGCTTTAAATATTTAATTTATTTTTTATCTTAATAGAAATAGTTGATTTTTATACAAAGCATCATCACTATTATTTATTATTTTTAATTAAAATTGAACCAAGGTAATTTACCTACTTTATTCAATAAACACAACAATATTTTGTTTTATATATGTAAATATAATTTATTATATGTTTATTTATTACATAAATATTAATATTTTATCAACATTGAACGTGTCACTAATTTCTATTGAAATCCTATAGCAAGTATCTAAAATTATTTGAGTCAATAATAAAGTTAATACTTAACATTAAAGTTCAAAAACACTACGTAAAAATAAATTGGGGAGTCGTAGATTTTTTTTTGGTTAAGATCTTTTCAGATAAAATATTTTCTACTTGGCGATACAATATATTTATTTTTAATCCCGTTCAGACCGTCACATAAAAAGAGCTTAGAAAAAGCTATTAGTCTGAAATGTTCGTATCTTAAATAAACGATAAAATACTCAATGGCGAATTTTCACGAAATATATTGATTTCTTTTTTCTCTACTAAGTAATTACTAGTAATTTATACATATATATTTGACTAATTAAACAATTTAATGGTAAAAACTTCAACAACGTGTAATTTTTTAAGTTCCATTTCAAATTTTAAAAGGCAGCACCTTGGATAATTTTGAAATGGTATTATTGCATGTGAATTTCAATTAATTACTAATCTGTAGTGCATACTTTTGTTGAACTGTAATAAAATCAAATAACATAATTATATTATTTTTCCATATTCAATCCCAATCATTTTTGTTTGATTTTTTAAGGTTATATGTGATTTTAGCCATCTAAAATAAAATGATTAAAAAAAAAAGTGATAAAAAAAATTTTTAACATAACAATTGAAAGAGTTAATAACATATAAACATTTTTTTTTTTTTTATTGTAAACAGTTACTATATCAGTTTTGAATCAAGTAGATGATAATATAAAAATAGTGTTCTGTAAGTATAAACATAAAAATAAATTTAGGGAGTGCCGTAAGAAATAAAAACACAATAGATTTTTATGGGTACCCTAGTAACTTTATTATACGTTAAAAAAATATATTTGTAAAGCTAAGTCGTAAAGAGATATTACTACTTTATGAGCTGATTTTTCATATTAGGTTTTTTACATCACCGTTTACGAAAATTACAACTTGCTTAAATGTACAAAATATTGGATTAATTTTATAGAAAATTTATACTATAACTTTGAATTGACATTGGTTTTATCAAAAAATATTGTGCGTAATTGGCACATCTCAGAACATAGTTAAATGTATTTATTTTTATATTAAGTTAAATAAAATTTTGCTCAATTTTATTTTTTACAATTGTGTAGCTTTTTTTTTTTTTTTGTAGGAGTAAAGTAGCTGCTGCCTTGTTGAACAAGCACCTGCAGATCAACGGAATAAGTGCCCTCGGAGCGCTTTCCACGTCGGAAGCTGTTAAGGATGTAGACGTGGAAACGGACCCAGACTCGGGTGCGTTCCGGCCAGCGGCTTCGAGTAACAAAATGAAACGGGAGAGGAAAGCTGCTCGTACGCTTGGCATCATTATGTCCGCATTTTTGGCGTGCTGGCTTCCTTTTTTTACATGGTAAAATAGTGAAAAAATCACCAACATTTACATATAATGTATTTATAAACACATTAACAGCCGGAATCCACTGGTGTATCACTGACTATCTACTTTAAAAAAATTATTATGACCCTTGATAGGTGTTTGCAATAACTATTATTCAAAAAGATAAAATCTGTATAGCATATGATAAAACATTAATATATTTCATGAATTGTGCGTATATCTGAAACGGTACGTAATATTATTAAGTTTTTACCTACCTAACGTAAATTAAAATTATTTTACAAAAGCATAATTCAGCAGAAAATAACGTAAACATTTTTTTTTAATAAAATAAACATAAATTTTTGTTTACTCTGTATATTTTACAAGTTAAATAAAATGAAACCCTGAAAGTAAATATGACGTCTGAAATAAATCAAGTGCAAACATTAATTAGTACTACCAAAAAAAAAAAAAAACACTAATTATTTTACCA